TTTATCATAGCATATATGTGTGTGTGTGTGTGTGTGTGTATACATATATATATTTTTTAAATTGACTGCACACTTCCTCCCTCAATAGATAACCCTAATGGCGGATCTTGTCCTGTTGCTCTCCCCTCAGAGGCAGGAACAGTGCCTTGGAAATATGAGTGTTCGATAAATACCTCATGAGTAAATTTTTTTAAAGGTATAATCTTTCTTTTTTTTTCCCCCCAGATTTTTAGTTATATTAATTCTAAAGAACACATTTCAGTTCAGCTTTTTTTTCTTTTCACTCTCACCAAACTTAATTGTTAGGTCATTTGTTTATCACCATCCTTTTAACTCCTGGGGCCAGTTGTTAGCAAGTCACTTAGACACAGTTAAACAATAACTAGTATATATAAAAAGCAATATCCCAAAATAAAACACATAAAAAGTCTACTGTGAAAATTAATCTAACAGCATCTCCCATTTCTCTTTTTTAAGTAGCTACCACTTAATGGCTTTTGATACATAGCTGCACATAATTATAAGAATATAAGATTGAATAGAAAACACAAACTAAATTATATTTTGCTTAAGTGGATACTGAAGTAATTTCAACCCTCTGAGGTTACCCGACTACACCTGAACTGCAAAACTGGAAAAACACCTGAGTATGTGTATAAATCTTGGAATTAGCTCCTTACTATAATCATTTTTTTAAATACCCCATGTAGGCAGAACATATTGTCACTTGTAAAATCCCTTTGTAGATAATATCCAACCTGATCTTCACAAATACCTTTGATACAGCAAGGCAGGTGTCACTGCCCTTATTTAAAGATAAGGAGACGGAACCAGAGAAGCTAAGTGACTTGATCAAGGTCACATGCAGAGCGCCTGTTCATATATTTGAAAATAATTTTCAGAAACATAAGAAGAAAGAGCTCGGGAAGTGTGTTACCATACAATTCTAGAAAGAAATCTGACCAGGTAATGAGATTGTGTCTACTAGCCACACATGAAAATCAATTCCATTGCCCAGAGAAGGACAATAAATACTGATCTTGCCATTTTAATGCAAGAAGCAAAACCCATTTTCATGGGTGTCACCAAAACACAATAGGACAGGTCTCATTGCTACAACACAGAAATGGAAATGGAGAGCTTGTCCAAAAGAAACAGATTTAATAGAAGAAATGAGAGAACGATGTGTCATGAATGCAGTACTCCACTGCAGAGAATTCTATGAGCCCGTAATATAAAACTGGTTCTCAGATTTTCAATTCACTGGGTAAGTAATATTTGTAACACATCTAGGGCAATCAGGTTGCTAACATCCAATTATTTTGATTGAAAATGTTAGAAGATTTTTAAAAAATGGCAGTTAACTTTTACTGACCATTTGCTATATGTCAGGTTCTGTTCTAGGCATCTTACACACATTGGCTCATTAAGGCTTCATGGCTACACCAGGAGATATATATTTTTATCATCAGCCCTGTTTTATAGATAAAGCAACAGAAGCCAAGAGAAGGTCAGCTATACATGGTCCCATGTATAGCACTGGGCAGAGCCAGAATTCAATCCCTGGCAGCAGGGCCCCAGAGCCCGTGTTCTCAATTGCTGACTCGGGTTCTAGTACCCTCCAGCACCATCATTGCATAAAAATGATACTCTAACACAAAAAAAGCAGGCAGGGTATCTCAAAATAAGAGTCATTTTTTTCAAATTTAATCTATTTAGCAGTATTAAAAACTCACTATACCCCCTCCTTTTGCTCAGGCTTCTGTAAATGTCATCATAGACCTCCGTCCATGGGTCTGCAGAGCAGGACTGGAGAAGCACGTGAATGGAGTTTCCGGACAAGGATAAAATAAAAGTGAAAGTCAAAGACTTTAAGGGTAGAAACACATGATGGATCATCTCTTTAGAAAGGGAACAACACATGAATCACAGAATCTTCATGTTGAAGACGTCTGCAGGGTCAACCAGTTCAATCCTTTTCTGAATACAGAAATCACCTTCTACAATGTCAGGTTCTGCTTGAATGGGTCAGCCATTGGAAACTCACTACTCATGATTCGGTTCTTGTCAAATTTGTGCAGACCCTCTGTTCTTCTCCATCACCTTTCTAAATTCTTTCCATCACTCCTCATTGGTGGAGCAAGGTTCCAGAACCTTTCCTAACCTGGGTGCTATCCCTAGAGCATAGTCCGTTTTGTGCTCTCTTTCATAAAATGCAGGGAGCAGAAATAGGTGTGATAGTTATAGGGAGGCTAATTAGCACTGGTACAATAAGACTATCACCTCCAACATGGGTGTTTGGCTTTTTTTCTGCAACCTAAGATTATAGTAGGCTGTGTGTGTGTGTGTGTGTGTGTGTGTGTGTGTGTGTGTGTGTGTGTGTGTATGTGGTGGGGGGATGGTAGTAAGGAAATAATAGTACAGAGTGATATGGATCATACTGTAGATTCATATGCATTTAAGCCAAATTCTCAATCTCTTTTATATATGCTGCTGCTAAATTTTATTACTCTAATTCCACAGTAGTACTGTTGGGTTTTAAACCATACAGGATAAATGTGCAATTATTCCTACTACCTATCACCCTATTAGAGTCATCCACTGTTCAAGCCTGGCCAAGGACAATTTCTATCTACTCTACATACTGCTCAGAGGCCCTCCCAGCTTATAGGCTCCATGACTTGCTCTCTGTGAGCCCCAAATTTTTTAGTCTCTAGTCTGCCGCACCTGTGTCCTTCCTTGTACCTCAGTCCTGCCTTCCACCATGTCCCACTGCTCACTGGCCATGGTCACCAGTCTTACCTTCACATTTTTTTAAAAGCCTCAGTTCAAGGAAGGGTGAAACTATTTTTTTCATACAGTAAAGAGAAATTTGACTTCACTTTCCTCACCCACCTCAGTGTCTCCCCCCTCTTATTTTTAGCTCTGACTCTCCGACCTAACATACTCCTGTTTCCTAAGATTGACTATTTCAACCATGTTCAAGGAACGTGCAGGACACTCCAGGAGTCGTGTCAACCTCAGGTTGCTGAAAACTGAAAAAGCATGCTTTGTCATTAGGCTTCCTTGCTTACACGAGGTTGAATACTTTTGAAGACATAGTGTTGGCATGCAAATATCAATTCAAAATTGGTTTTAATTTCTTTAAAATGACTGACAATCTGTAATGAAAGGTATGGTGTCTCTTTGAGAGTTATATATGTACACATCAGGCAGCAATAAAAAAAAATCCAAGCATTATATCCAGGGGAAATGTATATAACAGTTGTGTCAGTAGCTGAAATGTACAGGCAGAAAATCAAGAGACAAGACAAAATCTGTAAGGGAGAACAGGACTGGAAACATTAAGTAGGCAGGGTTGTTAGTGACAAGAATGAAACAGATGGCTCCTCTCTCCAGTCTAAACAATGGAATTCTAACCCTTTTTTGGACAGAAAGGGAGACTATATATTGCCATGCCCAAAATAGGATTCCTTAAAATCACACTGAAGTGAAATCGCACTGAACGTACTGCTCACAGAGCATGCCTGGAGGACAGAAGGTCCCGTGGGCTCCCGTGTCCCCCCCGTAATAAGGGGGTGTCTGTATCTGCCCAGGAGCCTTCACAAGGCAGTTATCAAATCAATAACAGGTTTGGAAGCAAGGCCTCTACTGTGAAATGATATATCTGGTGTTATACATCGCTACTGTTTGCCCTGCAACAGATGATAGGATCATATATACAAGAAATATAAGAAATTATTTCACAAAAAAGGGCAGTTTTATTCAACTAAAAAGAGAGAGGAGATGGCCGTCATTTGGAGACATGAGGAAGATAAAGCATTTTCAAACTCCTTTCTCCTTGGACCTGCCAGCCCGGGCTGTGTGAAGGGCCAGTCCAGAGCTGCAGTTTATTCCAGAGACCCCACAGCTGGTGGTAGATCTGGGAAAGAGACGCAGGGTTGGCTAGAACCAGCCCATCATGCATCCCCAGAAGGTGGCTGTCCCCTTTTCTAATGAAATTCAACAACAACAACAACACAAGAACAGAATTTGCCTATAAGTTTGAACTTGTGGAAGCAGTATACTTCATATTATGAAGAAAAAGTAGAACATCTACAAGCTGTTCAGGTTTCATCATTTCTCCTACCAGCCAGGGGCAGACTGTGCTCTGAGAACTCTCAAAACCTAAAAAAAGAAATGACACATACGGCTGTGTCTACTTACGTAAAGCTATCTCAAGAATCAATTAATTCCCTAAAAATTTACTGAATTGCCTCACCTCAGCCCACCATCCAATACAGGGATTCTTCATGTAACTGAGGAAAGAACGCTTCAGTGTCCCAATATATTATCTCTCTACTTCCCTAGCCAAAAGTAGCCATACAAAAACAGCACTATTACCTCTCATGGGAGCTTGCTTCAGGTTTTGATTTTTATAAGATGCTACATTTCTCCCTCCATCAACCCTACTTTATTTAAGCTGTGGACCAGGTTCAGCACAGTCAATTAGGACTTTATAATCTCAACTTGAAGACTGCATGCAGCCCACAAATCACCCTGGCTTATTTTACAAATGGGCCCTGTGTCTTTGGCAAGCAGCCCCTCCATTAAATACCCATCAATAAAAACAGCTTTAAAGCTATCTCTAAGATGGAATCTATTATTCCAAAGCCCCTCCAGGCTAAAAGCACATTAATGGTGAACATAAAACAAGGGGACCAGGGTGAGAGGATCTGACCTATGCGCAGACATCATGAAAGGAGACAGTTTCTGTCAACTGTAGGGAGAACTCCTATATGAACTAGATGATACCCACAGGAAAGTGTAAATAAAAATAAGAAAAAAGGAGGTGGAGGTCTCCCAAAGATACCAAGCCTCGAGGTCCCAAAGTCCACAGGCTGTCGGGCTACCATTCAGAGGTGAAGGGAATATCCGTTCCCACAGAGGATTCTGACAGAGCTGGGGGAAGCAAATGAACCACCCGATAAACACGATGCTGCAGGTCAATGCCCAGAAAGATGCTAAGGACTCGTCCCAGGTGCCCCTTACTCACCGGCACACTTTGTTCTGGTTCTGAGGGCTGGCCCAGGAGACCCAGTGCCACCTTCCCCCGGCCTGGTGAGCAGCACACTGATCTCATACTCCGTATCCGGGTCGAGGTGCCCAATTTTGTAACTCGTGGAGTCCACTGGCTGTCGGTCATTCCAGCTCCCACTTGCTGTGCAGTACTCCACCTCTCGGGCGACAATGGGCCCATCCCCATTGATGGAGTTGGCGTTGAGTTGAATCCAAAGGTAGGTTGCCCCCACGGAGGCAAGCTGAGGTGGAGCAATGGGAACGGGAGGCTCTGGAAGGCAAGTCAAAGAGCCATCTTTCAGACACCTTGCTCTTCCGTTTTAAACCAGCTAAATGTACATCAATTATTAAAATATAGAAACCGTGAACATGTCAGGAATGAAGGGATGGGAATGGTTCTGTTTAGGTTATTACGAAAAAGCATACTGGTAAAGCCTTTCACAATGTTCAAATCTGTGAAATAAACCAACTTTAAAACCTAAGCTTGATCAAGTAGGGATACCCTCAGTTTGTTTTAGGACACAACTCATTTTTCTCAGGCTCAAAGGATTTTTTCCCCCACTAAAAGTAACTTGCTGAAGCTCTCTTGATGGTAGTACTTAAGCTCCAGGAGGCACTCTATTGCCAACTTCCTTATTGAGAATGTCTTCGAAATCATCAAAGGTGCTAGTTACCTATCTCATTAAATTCAGTTTCCTTATATTTATTATTCCACAGATATCATCAATTTTAAAACATGGCCAAAATTATAGTTTCTCTCAGCATAAATGCACTTCCAGGAGGCCTTGTTGCCCAAAAAACCCATCACAGTGGACTCATTTGGCCGCAGGAGAAGTGAGACGTCTGGATAACACAGCCCACCACAGCTGCTGTTCAAGGAGCCTCCCGGAATGAGTCTCATGAAAGCAGCGGGTAGAAAGGAAACTCTAACGCAAAGTGCAAGCCATGCCCAGCTTGGTAAAATTCTAAGCAATCAATAGCAAATACTCTTTAAACCCAAGAAAGTCTCTTTCATTGTTTAAAACCTGAGATGGACTCTTTCTACATCATTGTCTGAGAATGGAGAAATAGGCAATCTTGTTTTAAATAGTATTCCCAGTCTGTCAGTGAGGTGTTGGTTGAATGGCTTGCCGGGCACCAAGTGAAGGCATCCTATATTGCCCAGTGTTACTGTACATCATACTGGGAAAGGAGATAACTGTATAAAATAGCATATTTCTATCTTCATGGATCTCCATCAGAGGAAAAAAAAGTAAGATCTAGTGATTTTCTTTTTTTTTTTAGTTTCAGAGGTAGACTTTAGTGACTCATCTGTTGCATACAGAACCCAGTGCTCATTCCATCAAGTGCCCTCCTTAGTGCTCATCATCCAGTTACCCCCCCACCTCCCCTCCTGCAACCCCGTTTGTTCCCTAGAGTTCAGCATCCCTTATGGTTTGGCTCCCTCTCTGATTTTTTTTTTTTCAAGCATGTTTCCGCAGGTGGTTTGTGTCTCTTTGGGCTGTGTGTATGTGTTTCAACTCCTCAGCACATCTGAATGCACAAAAAATAGAGCCTGCTATGTTCCATTTGCTGGTATATGCTGGCTTGCATGCTGCAAATTCTGTCAGCTCCACAGCAGACACAGCCAACTAATCACGGTCCTGTTTCCTGCTGAAAGGGATCTCACTGCAGCTAAGACTATCTGACCTTGGCCCTTGACATGATACCTGGTGGGTCCCTAGACTAAGATACCAATAACAGTAGTTCTCCTCGTTGGGTAGGGGTGTCTTTGTTCTTTTTCTGTATTCAGGGTACAGTGAATTTTACTGACTTTCAAAAATAGCTGGGAAATCTCATTAGACTGAGTCAAAATAGACACTAAAGGATGAATTGTATTTGAAAGACTACAAAATTCATGCAGACTTACTAAAAATACTGCTCCTATTGTTTGTAAACTACAACTTTGTGCTAGCTCCTCATTTCTTTAAACAATTCTTACTCAACTCATCATGATTTAACATCAATTTATATCATTAGGTGATTCCTTGAACCAAGACATGAAATGGGCCTTTTATAGTATATCCCAAGGCAGTTATGTAGCCAGGCTGAAAGGGCAGTTAATTACTCTGAAGTTGCAAATGCTAGCAAGGGTTGCTGAACTGCCATTCAAAATACAACTCAGGGGCAAGGCCACGAAGGTTAGTGAGCACACCAATTCATTTAGGATATTGTTACTAGTATCCTAAAATAGACATGACTTTAATGCTTGCTTGACCTGAGAATATTTTCTCCATTAATTCCCCATGAAGAAAAGTATCAAATATGTGAAATCAAATGAAAGATTCCACTGGAACCTGGAACAATTGTACTAGACATTCCAAGGGACTTTTGGGTTGCTGGAAGAATCCGTACAAGAGTAAGTCAATATTTAAATTTTGAATAATTTTTCCCAAAGTGAAGGAAGGAAGAAAGGAAGAAAGGAAGAAAGGAAGAAAGGAAGAAAGGAATTCCACCTATAGTAAGTGACAGATGGCAATTTAAAATATATGATTCAAGCCCACTTATACCTGGACTTTTTGCAGTACTGTAAATGTATTTTCTCTTCCTCATGATTTTCTTAATAACACTTTCTTTTCTTTAGGTTACTGCAAGAATATAGTATATAATATGTATATAAAATTTGTGTTAATCGACTGCTTATTTTATCGGTAAGGGTTCCGGTCAACAATAGGTTATTAGTTAAGTTTCTGGGGAGCCAAAAGCTGTATGTGGATTTTCAACCATGCAGGGGTTGGTGCCTCTAACTCTTGTGCTGTTCAAGGGTCAACTGTATTTCTAAACCAAGCCAGCAATGAAAGAATTTATACACATACAGATATGTAAACATATATCTAATGATAAACATATGTGAATGCCTAATACATATCTCATATAATTAAATGATATTGATATACATGCATATATATACAAATTGTGGAGATTCCATGAAATATTTTTTATGTCCCAGATTATCAAAAGCAGTGGGAGACATGAATAAGATAGGAATGACAGTTAATAAATGACGTGGGTTTCATTTGGAGGGCTGGCACCAAATCAGTATGTGACCTTAAGAGAATTACAAACTCTATAGACTTTAGTTTTTCCCATTTTCCGAAGATCAACACTTCAAATACTACATGCATAAAAAAAAAGAGTTAAATTATATACAAGTGGCCTCAAAAGTGTCACTGCATATTTTAAAGTAATTATCTCAAGGTAATACTTTATTAAGTATAACTTGCTAGTAGAATTCAGCATGTTATCTCATTTTTAAATATAAAATATATGAAAAATATGGCTATAAAATTATAAATGGAGGAAAAGTCAAATTTCAGATTTCAGCCGCAACTGTAAGCTGGCTGTCCTGGGTTTGGTCATGTGCAGAGATGAAAAGAGATGCCTGGACATTTTTATCACAATGAGCCAAGCAACCACTATGCCATCCTAAGACAGGAAAATGTGCTGCATAAATGTGAATAATAACCCATTCATTCTTTGTGCTCACGTTTGCTCTGGAAGACTAGAGATTTATGATTTACTTACACCACCCAGCAAATGAAGTTTTTCACAGGGGCCATTTTTAGCAAGGTTACGAGATTTACATTATACTGATAATGAAGCATGATGCCTTAAGAACAGGGCTGGTCACAGTGAAATGCTGTAGCAACTATCAATCAGAAAATGGGATACAATCACAAGAACTGAGCCAAGAGGAACATTAAGTACTAATAATGATAATAAAGAACTCAGCCATGGAACACTGAGGCTGCTGCTTTACCAGATTTGTTGGCAAACAGTGTCCATTTTCTACACGGTGACTCCTCGCTTCTCAGAGAACCTTCTGCAGAGTAGGGTGTGCATTACTGTGAAGAGTTAGTTTTCTTATGACTATTAAACCTAAATTCCTAAACTCAAGTCCTAGTCAGACCAGCTAAAGTTTCAGCACAAACCAAAATTCCTAAGAATATGCTGTGGCAAAATTTATTAGCGGGGTACATATTTCAATGTGCACAATGTCAGTCATTGCTGCAAATTAATACTGCATGGGGCAGGCTCACCAACAAACATTTCTCTCATAAGCCAGGAGTCATAAGCCAGGAGTGACTAATATTGGCAGCAGGGATTTCACAACAGAAGCATATGCCAAAATCACCTATAGATTTTATAACAGAGGCCATGTCCCCAGAGATTTTCATTTAATATGGGTGTGGTAGGGGGAGGGAAGAATAGCTGGGCAGGCATTTATGTTTTAAAATTTGGAAAGAGGGCAGTGACAAGCGTTTCTAAATGAAGCTCACTGATGTACAGGAGCAGAGGGTTACAATCACCTCGCTCCCCCCCACCTCCGCCCCATCATGGCCCTAACAGGAGCTGGCTGCTTACTATGTATACTGTTCTAAGTGCCTTTCATATACTTTTTGCACTTGATCTTCTTGATCACCCTATGGTGTAGGTGACATTATTAATGTCTACATTATACTTTATACCCTGGCCCATGCCCACCTAGCTAGTTCTGGGGTTTGAACCCCACAGTCTTTGAAACTGCGTGCACAGAGAAATTTGCTGATACAAGGAAGAAACTGTCCAAAAGATATCAGCTTTATGTTTTATATTTAACAAATGCAGGGGAAAAAAAATTCATCAACAGGCATCATTCTGTTCTCCTAGGACAAAACAGCAATGGCCTGCCACAAATTACCTAAAAATGCCTCACTTTACATCTAGAAGTCCAAATTATTCTGTCTGGGACCAAGAATTGCCCTAGCAGTTTAATATCATAAACTCCTCAGCCCACAAAAAAAGCATTAGACCAGCAATGGAAACTTATTTTCCCTCTTTTTTTTTCCCTCATACCCCACCTCCCTGAATATAATGACTCAATTTTTCAGTCATGCAAAATATAGTAATGGAACCTAACTGCGACATTATGAGTGTTAACTCAGTATTATCAATATGGCTTGTGTGATATGACTGAGCATTTTTATACTGGCATTGCTTCATTTTATTAACCACCCTGCTATCATAAACACGCTGGCTGGTGAATATTTGCATTTTAAGTGATTTTCTATCAGTAAAAAAAAAAAATGCATTCCTTAAAAAAATTTATAGGTTGTAATCTCTGTATACAGAGTTGGCAGAAGAACTTGCTAAGAGCACATTCAGTGCTTTTGTATGCAACTAAACCAACATAAATAAAATACATTTTTCAAAAATATTGCTCACGTGCAAAATTTGTACTTAAAATGCAATCCATCAATATAGCCTGTCACCAAGCTCCTGTTCGGAGACAGACAAGGATAAGTTTGAGAGTTAAACAAATAATGAACTCACAACCATCTGACATGTCTATTTTAATAGACTATTGAGGGGTATAAAAATGCGTTAAATACCTTTAACTACCAATTCTGCATAGTTTGATATTCCAACACCTCCTTCGGTGCGAATCATGCAGCGGTACTTCCCAGCATCTCGTTTTGTTGTGTTCATGACATTAAAGGAAGCTATGAATCGCCGGGAACTAGTCACCTTTATTTCCTTGAGAGGAGCATCGCGCACATCAATGCCCTGTATAAATGGGGGTGGGAGACAAAAAGAGAGAATATCAGCTGTCATACTGGACCGATAAGACACCTGATGGCTATTATCCATGTTTTTTCCATGTGGATCTGGGTTCCGTTGTTTATTACCCAGGGGCTCTAGTTCTAGGGGAACACCTGGCCAGGAAACTTAAATTCTGCCATGATCAACACTTTCAAGATTGAGGGATGCAAAATTATGTGTGCAGAAATGTCTTGCTTTTGTCCTTTAAGATATTAATTATGTTAAGTGAGCTCACCGGGAGTAGAAAAATGCATATGGAAAAATTCTTTATTTGATTCCCAAACGATCACCATTTGGTATTTTCATACCACTTTGTCTTATGTTTTTATGCTTGGCTAGGAAACAAAACTGATTCATACACTACCCTACTGCCAACCTCATTTTATCTATGAACAAATAAATAATTTATTAAGAATTACAATAAAGACATAAGTAGGTATTAACATATTCCTTACCGAATAGGTCTGATGGACTATTCTAAGCTTTACGATGTTCTTCCAGGATACAAAAACCAAGTAGATGCTCAATATTACTTAAGTGTGAAATGCTACAAGAGAAGTTTCTCCCCATCCCAGAGTTTCAAAACCACATAAAACAGGTTCCCTCCGTGTACACCTTTGTCTTACACCATCCTTAACACATGAAGTACGTCTTTAGTTATGTGGCCTTAGAACTCCATTCTATGCTTCCTATAATTTAGAGTCTCATAAGAAGGCTACAGATTTTAGTTCTTAATAGCTGTTTACAATTCCCAGGAAAGAGGCTGTCTTTAATATGTCATTTGCAAGCACTGAGTAGAAAACAATGGGCACAGACCTTACAGCTAACGCATGATGCCAAGCACTCTGTCCATTTGTTCACACAGAATCCATTCTGCCAACCAGGTGCTATCAACTGTGTTAAGACACTAGGCTCACAGTGGGGAATGACAGAAGAGTAGTTATGGTGCGCACGGCACTTTAGTTAGTGGGAAGTATAGGCCGGAAATACAGAATTACAAGTGATGGCCAGTGTGGTGAAGGGACAGATCAGATGGCTCGCAGAAATCACCATCTTTAGATATGGTGGCTGTGGGAGGCCAGTTTGAGGAAGTGAGCTGAGATCTGAAAGGCAAGGAGGAGCTAACCAGGCAAAGGGAGAGGGTGTGAGAGAAGGGGCATTCTGTCTAGTCAGAGGAAACCGGGCAGGAAGCCCGAGATGGTTAGAGAGAACAGAAAGCTTTGGATGAAATGAAGGCAGCTCGTGGAACCAGGGAGGTAAGGAAGCACCTACACATTCCGGGACTTGCAGGCAATATTAAAGTGTTTTTATGTATGAGTATGAAAATGCTAAGCTACACATAATAAAACTCATCTATATTACTCGGTGATTTATATTATGCAAAGTCGTTTAAAAGCTTTTATCCGTGATTTTTTTTCTTTGGCAGTATGCTCTAACGGGCATAGGTTTGGAGTTAAACTGACCAGGGTGTCAAAGCTAACTTCAAAGTGATTTACCTTCCTAGAGCCTCCCTTCCCTCATCTGCAACAAGATGATATGACTCACTTGCAGGGCAGTTGTGAGAATTTAAAGATATATACAAAGACACTGGCTTACTGACTGGCACCACACATCCCCACCCAAATTCCGGACCAGCTGAGTGATGAAGTCAAGGAGAAAGGCGGACAGACTGTCAAAGTACCACTTTTATTACCTGTGAACCTGGTATTACAGAATAGGGCTGAGATGCAGTAACAATGGGCTTGCTAATACTGAAGCACAGAATTAAACAGACTCACCCACCCGGCCACTGGCCATCTTAGAAAAGCACAAAGGCCTCCCACATGTTGGGTGCTGCTGTAAAACTCACAGGAAGAACAGGGCTCCTACAGGGGGTTAGCTCCCAAAGAAGGGGCTGGGCTGTGCATGCTCCCAGCTTCCTTCCCAGGCAGCTCCCGCTTGGGCAGAGAAAAGGCATCAGAGTGCTGCACTGGTACAGTTCCTGCCACAGGGAAGGAAACATCAGGAGTGGGGAAGAAGAGTTCCACCAACATCACCTTCAGTGTTATCTGTCACAGCGGCTTTGTTAATAGCTTAAGAAGTTATAAATCAGAGCATGAAGTTCCATAGATAACTTACATGTCTTATGTCTGCCCTGGTTTTTACTAAATCCCCCAAATTTGGTCTGACAGAGCACACCAAGGACTTAGGAAAGTGAAATAAAATAGAATCAGTCTGGCATCATTAATTAATTCAACGGGGGACAGCATTCCTCTCTGTAGTCCACACATTCAGTCTCCCATCCTTTCTCGCAAATAAACAATCAATCCAATTCTACCTCTAGGAGTAACCTCAGATCTACTAACGCTATAAAGTGCGGTCTGTCTTTTTCCAAACTAAAAACAAAACAAATCTAATCTCCAAGTTTGAAAAAAAATTAAGCCCTAAAGAAAGGCAGATTTCATATCTGTAAGTATTTGTTTTATTAATAACAGCAACAAAAAAAGGCTACCTACTTATTTATTTACTCACTTGTGGCATGAATCCGGTAAGAATATGCTTCTATAGTAATCCCATAGTATCTTACCTGTTAGAGTACGCCTACTTCAAAAGAATGTTCATTCAAAAGAATTTGGAAGTATGCAGTTATTGATCACTCAAAACAATTCAGGGCTGCAGCGAAGGCTCTCAAGTTTGAGAAAACCTCTGTTTTGGATTTATACATATGTTGAGAGGAGTATTACTTCATAGTTGATGTCTCCATGCCACAGATTTATTCTTTAAAATAAACAGCTTCAAGCTAACAACTCTACAGGACTCCAGTACATCAACTCTCAGGGCTGGGGCTTTCTTTTTGAATCCCATGTACTGAGTCACACAGAAAGTTAGATTCAGTTTCTTCAAGAAAAGTAGTGCATATGAAAGAGAAACCAAGTGCTAATGAATGATCATTTTAGCTTAGGACCCATACCAAATCATAGATCTTGAACGTTCAAGTCTGCAGGTCATTTTGTGTTAAATCATTCAAAGGTACGTGGATCCAAGCATTCATTTAATGAACACTTTGTAAAAATCTCTTATGAGGCAGACACTGTATCATATACAGGGAGAATGGAGTTAAAAGAACAATCCCTTACCTAACTGAACTTAAAGTCTGGTGAGGAAAAACAGCCAAGTAAGGCAGTGATTATAGTACAAAGCAATAAACTGCATAAAACAGCAAGCCCAGGAAAAGGGGACCACACTGGAGAAGGATGTGAGGGTTGGGCTGGCTTTCTAGAAAGCACTACTTGAGGCCAGGCTGGAGGATGCACAGGAGTTTCTCAGACAGGGAAGGAGGAGAAATGGAGCCCAGTGAGTGAGAAGAGCTTTGCAAAAGTCAAGAGCCAAGACAGCATGGAACGATACAGGAAATACAACTGATTCCATGCAGCTAGAACGAAGCACGTCTGGATAGGCAGGTGATGAGGCTAGAAGGATAATCACAATATGGCATATTGAGGATTATAGTTTATCTTGATGCCAGGAATGGATGGATTTTAGGTAAAGGGGTGACATGAACATATCTATAGGTACAGTAACAGACTGAAGGAAAAAATGTGGGATCCCAGCTGATGTCAAGGGAAATTGGTAATTTTTGTTTAAGAAATCAACAAGTGACACAAAGAGGGATGAGAGAGGGGGAGGAAAGGATTCTAAAAATATTTAGGATTCTAAAGATATTTAGGAATTAAAATGGATAAAAAGTGTATTATACTGCAGTAACACCCTCCTTTTGTAGCAGACTAGAATGTCTTCAAGTTAAGAAACAGATCTTATTCATTTGGTGTACATGGGTGCACAAGAAATAAAACTCAATAAATATTTGCTGACTCTAAAAATCATAGCCCCTGCAGAAAAAATGTTCCATAGGTAGAACAGAAATATGAAGTTGCTAAATTAATAGATTTATACTCCAGGTCCTAAAACTGGATAATTAGCCTTTATTTACAAGGGAGACCAATACGGAAAATAAAGATATTTTAGAGATTCTGCATGTCCCTCAGTCAGCAACAATGCCCACTCATCATGATTGGGGTAGGCAGAAAAACAGTCCTCAGAGATGTCTACTGCCTAGTTCCCAGAACGTGTGAATATACTCCTTATGCATAGCAAAAGGAAGTTTGCAGATGTGATCAAAATAAGAATCTGGAGATGAGACAATTATCCAGTATCCCTGAATACTAAATTATCCAGATGGGCCCAATGTAATTACAAGGTAGGAGGAAGGTAAGAGGGTCAAATGCAGAAGAAGGAAATGTGACCACAGAACCAAAGGCTGGAATGATGTGGGTTTTAAAATGGAGGAAGGGATCATGAGCCAAGAAATGAAGCAGGTCTCTAACAAGCTACAAAAGGTAAGGAACAGATTCTCCCCTATACCTTCCAGGAGGGACCAGCCTTGCCATCACCTTATATGAGGACTTCTGACCTCTAAAACTACAGGATAATAAAGCCATTACGTCTTTGGTAATTTGTTAAAGAAGCAATAGGACACTAATACAGAGACCATCAGGATAACGAAAAAGTCTATGGTTTTTCAAAGATATACAGTAGTCCTGAATCCTGATTTGTCAGAGCTACAAGCAAATCCTTAAGATAGGTTTAGGTCTTAAGGGCTAGCAAAAGTTCTATTCACAGGTCATCACTGTAGACAAAAGAAAAGAACAAAGTTGAAAGACTCAAACGTCTCAACTTCAAAACTTGCTACAAAGCTACAGTAATCAAAAGTACAGTGTGGCACTAGCATAAGGACAGACACAGACCAATGGAATCGAGTAGATAGCCCAGAAACAAACCCTTACATACATGGTCAATGGATTTTCGACAAGAGTGCCCAGACCACTCAATGGGGAAATAACAATCTTTTCAGCAATTGGTGCTGGGAAAAATGGATATCCAGGCAAAAGAATAAAGTTGGACCCTTATCTTTCACTGCATACAAA